TAACAAAATTTAAGGTCTCGTTAATCTTTTCTACTGAAGTTGTGCTTTGATGTGGATTCGACGGAAATCCGCATTTAATGCCGGTTTCCATATGGTTTATGCATTCTAAACATTTCACCTTGGTTTCTCGCTGTTGTCTTTTCATAGGAGCTATCTGGAAGATGAGTGTCAAGATAAAAAAGGCCAATCACTTCCCGATTCGTCCAGCTGGAAACTAGTGAATACCGAGGTGAGTTAAAAATGGATTGCCTAGTCCTTTCGCGAGGATTGACGTTGGTCAACCGGGCGTTATATTTCGAGTTTTGAAACTTATCACTGTCACCCAACTTTAGTGATAGCTGTACTGTCGTACGCATACAGCTTTTGATAGTTTATCGGCTTTTGTGACTCCAATTTCTCACTGTCCAGGTTGGACTAAGTATGCAGGATGGCAGGATGGACTGCCTCGTAATCAATCCAAGTGCTTCGAATGCACTTTCTCTCTCGATCTGTTTATCCTCGTGATCCGTCTGTCATAAACACAGATCCCCTAACTAGAGTATATCATGTGAAGTATCTAGTTACAATTGACACTAACTTAAAGTGGACATCCTATATTTATAACTCAGTATAGATACTTCGCAGATTCTCTTTTCAACCTCGAAAACTTAGGCAGTTCAATACCAAACAGAAAATTATTTCACTTTTTGTTTATCAATTTGTTTTTCCGGTTCTTCTTTATTGTTCCCCGGTGGTTTTTACTGGTCTACTAAAGAAAGACTACAAAATTCTTCGTCGAGGTTTGTCGATTATCAGTCGTGTGTCTCTTATACCCGTGATGAGCTATCTAAAAACTGTGTGAACTTCACTTGTCCGCATGTGAAACATTTGCACAGAAAATCCTCTCTGACCCCAACCATCCTTTACATGGCGATTTATCTAAATGCTGCTCTCATACGTCTACGCGTTCTTATCGATTATTACCCTCTCGCATTAATCTCTACAGAAATTCCCCAGTTCCCTATCTTGCCAGAATCTTTGTAAACCGAGAGCGCGTTTCTTCAGAATTTTTCAGTAACCTTAAAGGTTAAATATTTTACTTGCATTTTTCCTTCTATTGATGAGATGTGTAAATTTTTGACTGAAATGCGAACATTTCTGTCCTCGCAAAATTCCATACAAATACAAATTGCACCCCTTTTGACCAAGATGACTGTTCCCTCATTAGTCAACACTAACACTAGGCCCCTGTTTCATACAATGCCTGATTTAGCTAGTGTTCTCGGATCAAGAATTCTTATGAACACGGAGACATTGGATATCTGATGAGTCTGTAGCATTGATGGATCGAAACGACAAATCCTGGCCTGACAAGATCAATACAGGGTTAGGTGGCGTCTGAAACGTCAGCTGACAAAGAGACTCAAGAAGGATCGTGAGAACTGGTGGGCAACAACAGCTAGTGAAATGGAAGAAGCAGCTGCATCAGTTAAAGACTGTTCCGACTGATACACAATACGGGAGGTCGGCGAACTCCATTTGGTGAAACAGTCTGCAATAAGATGGGACAAGCTATTCACAATAGTGATCAATGACTTGATCGCTGGGTGGAGTACTTAAGCGAACAGTTCAGCTGGCCTACCGCTAGCCAGGTTACTTCATCTATAACTGAAGCTCCGTGGGCAGTGACGTGCGATTC